AATACGTAATAGTATAAAGTCACCTCTGTATAAGATCCTTAGTTTTATGTTCGAGATCTTGTATAAATAATTTCTTTGCTCTATTTTGAAGTGCTCCTTTACTACATGGTAAAAATCGTGCGAGATGCCCATATGTTTCTAACCTCAAACTTATAGGGGACAAATCTCTCAATTTTTTTTCTAAACTGAAATAAAAATTCTGAGGTTTATTCTTCCAATATAACAAATATATCGTAATTGCTTACCTTAGCAATAATGTATTTACTGTTATATTGAAAAATTTAGTTTTTCCTTCTTTACTGTTTTCTGCACATGTTTTCAACTTATTAACTATTTCTACAACATTTTCTGGAAGAGATTCAGGTAATGGTGCTTCTTCTTTATCAATATCATCGCATTCAGATTCTGTACCTATACATCGAGATTTGCCAGAATCTGTTGTATCCCTACTTGATTCATCTTCAACTCTCGCAGCATTTACTACACTCTCTATTGCATCATCAATGTTACTATCCTTACCACCTAATTTTTTTAGCTCTAACTTTTTGCCATCGAAACCGTTAGTGTTTGATGTCTTTTTTTCAAACCTTTTTATATCAAACTTTTTATCTGACGCATTTTTACTTTTTTGTGCATCGATCTTATCAGGTTTCTTTTTATCTTCTTGATCTTCTGAAGCTGAAATGTATAAATACATAGTATTATTGTAATATTATAACTATTTTAAGAATGTAAGTACATTACCTTCAGCATCTGTAGTTTCTCCCTTCTCTTTCCGTCTATTTAAATCTCCATCTTGTTGAAAATTTTGTTGATCTTGGGAATTTTGTGGCCTTTTCTTTTTTTTAATAATATTTTCATGAGTTTGCTTTTTCTCTCCATTTTCATCTATCTTTTGTTTCTAAAATAATCACAAATGTTTAATACAGAACAACAATGAAATAAATAATATTATAGTGTAACTCAGTTACTTTTCTTGGTTGGTCACCAGTAATATCTTCAGTATCATCCTCATCCGATGAACTGATATTTCGTTTCTCAGATCTTTTAGGACTATCCACATCTTCTGTATCCTCTTCGCTACTCTCACTGCTTTCATCATCATTGCTTTGATTATTGTTATTATTATTGTGAACCAACCCATGTTGATCAGCTGATGTAAATTCAAGAGCTCCACAATTAATATAAAACCCTCCATGTGCTGTAGTCATCTCCTCTGGTACAATTTCATCATACTAAAATAATTAAATGAAGTGTAAACATTATAAAATATGACAAACATATGTAATATTCAATACATTACATACCGCATCAGTATTGTCGATGAAGGAATCATTTTCGTCATATCCAGCTCCCAAATCCACGTAATCATCATATTTATGTCTTTTCTTTCCCATGGTAGAAGTTCCCTGTAAATTAAATATTCCTTAAATGATAGGTAAATTTTTATGTATTCAAATTATCATAAATCTAAAAAAATTGTTTCGCATACATATTTCGCTTCAAACCGTCTTGCCATATCTCGTAGTTTATCATCGTCATCGTCATCATCAAAAGATAATCCATTGGTTGCATTTTCATCTCCTCGTTTTAACTCTTTCCTACGTTTTTTCTGCAAAATAAAATTATTTACTTTACAATTGAATGCGAGAAATTGAATGCGAGAAATCGTTTGCGTCATAACTTGCGCACTCGTTTTAATTTCGTCGCGCGCTCTCACTATTTTATTAAAAAATAGTCTATTATGTGTACGCGTCTATCAATGGCATTTACATGTTTCGATATGTAAAATTGAAACGGGAATCATGTAAGTAAATTAACATTTTTTTAATAATTCATTTATTAATAAATATTTAAATTAAAAAGTCATATTATTAGTAAAACATTGATAAAATGCAACACGATTAGAATCAACATTTAGAAATGTAAGTATGACAAAGAGGGAAAGTTGATTCAAAAGAGGGCATACACTGCCCGTTCATACCAGGAGCACATACTACGTGCAGAATGTCACTGTTGCTCTTTCTTTTGAGACGCGCAACTCCCTGTTATCTTCTGCTCTCCTAGTACGAGAGACGCTACAACCAGTGATTGATCCCAACAAAAATACAATTATCAATAAATTCAAATTCCATGCTTTGAATCATAAACAATATTTCAAATAAATTGTGTCGAATAAGAATATAAAGATATAAATTGTTATTAAAAAGTTTTTTCAAGTTAAATAAATAATAGTACAAAATAAATAACGCGAGATAAATTTATATAACTTTATTATTAACGTTATTATGTATTATTTTATTTCTATACATTGGTACTATTTTATACATAATATTATATTGCACAATTAAATAACAATAATCTTTTTATCAAAAATTTTTTCCAAAATTTAATTAATTTTCATAATATCAGCAAAAACGCAGATTTAAAAATTAGTTTATTTTTTATAATTCTAATTCAAAGATTATATAAAAATGATAATCTCTAGTTTCGACACAAACATGATCCACTAGGTTATAACCATAAGCTGTTGAAAATTAGAACAAAACGGCAGTCATTTCAGTATAACGTACATCTTTTAATTTTACAATTTAAATTATAATTATTCCTCTTAAATGCAGATGCTTCATATTCTAAGAAAGTTCCATAAGGAAGTAAAAATTATTATTTAAAAAAATATATGTATATTTTTATAATTATATTAGAATTAAATATAAATTAGAACATAGAAATATAAATTACGAAATAATGTCGAAATAATATCGAATAACGGTATTGTACAATATCCATCTAGTGTGAACATGTTTTAAGTAGATATGTCGATGGTCACGAGTTCCCTCTCGGTGCATCGATCACGAAACTAATACACTCTGCATACAGGTATAAAATCATAGAAATAAAATTTATCAGATTAAATTGTTACGTATGTACATAAAAAAAAGTACCGATGAAAGAATCATAGTTGGTGAAACGAAACAGGTTCCCAAATAAGGTGATTGATTGTTTCAATGAATTCGCGATATTGGATAGTACTCTGTTGTATTGTAATAATTCTGCACTTCTTCGACATATATAAAATAATGATTGTCACGAAAACAAGTGCTGAAAACTTGTTCATAACCAGGTTTCGACCGAAACATCAAACAGACGGCGTTTCATATTAGCATACGTTACACCGGTAACGAAATGCATCGTGACGTTTCTATTTGATGGCTTCGACTTGATCAAATCTTTTTCTACCAATTTGGACATAATATTAATATAAGCTCACTGTCAATATGCGCAAATAAGAAAAGCATACATATTGCGAGACTGTCGAAACTCACGCGGTAACCACGACGTGACAATTCACTTGGCCAACAGATACAAGTTCCCTGCATTTCATGTAGTCTGAAAATGGGCGATTCCATTGGCATTTTTGCAGTTTCTTGTCAAACTATCTCTACGTGAAACGAAATCATGACCGGTGTTCATGACAAATTAAATGTGTTAGTAAACGTAACCGTATGGATAGGCATCGTGGATTTTATAATCCCTTGGATAGATAAACGAGTGAAAGGGACGACTGACCTCGGCTGCTTTGAGGAGTTGTGCATAGTTGAACTCAGGACATGCCTTCTCGTTCGACTCTGGCAGGGTAAGTGTGAAACGGAAGGAGGGCGCGAGTTGTTTGCCCTTTTCTCCTTTTTTCTCCTTTTTCGTGGCGTAGCCCAAGGACTCCGGAAACTCCAAGGTTTGTAAAGGTACCCTTTTAGCTTCTGACATTCCTACATTTGCACCGAACTCAACGCGGATTACGGAAACACTGCGAACACTGCGGCAACATGGTCCTTTCTCTTAAACACCGCACCGACACCGCCACTCGCACGTCGCCATCTTCGGCTCGACTGTTTTTAGAGTGCGCTGTTGATGCCGCCGCCACACCGCGAATTTCACGCATGCGTCTCACAATACAAATAATCTCAAGCAGAGTTCTCATTGAATAATTGCGATATTCCACATGGAAAGAAGTACGATCGTACGATCGTACGATCGTTTCAATAAATTATTGTAAATTATAAAATTAATTCATCATTTTGACATTACGTCGCAGATTAATATTACTTGTACGCTTGAATTTTATTGAGACAAAGAGTGTTCATCTCGTGAGTAGATATGTCTCTATTAATTGAAATAAACGATGATTTAATTGGTGTATGTCATTTATTAAGAACTTTCGCTAACAACTTTTACAAGTTGTCATCTCGTCTATACAATTCATCTGTGTAAAGATCATGTTTACAAATATAATAACCCTATCTCGTATGTAATAAATGTAATATTTCATAATTTATATTTTAATGCCTGCAATGTTAAAATCAGTTCAGTTATGTCAATCATAAAATGTTCTTAAAATAAGAATAATTAACTTATCTAAAATACATGGTATTCAAATGATACAAAAGGTATCGCTTATTTAACTATCAGCATTTGAATTATTTTCTAAATTGTCTTGTTTCTTAGCAATTTTAATTGCTGAAAATTGCTGACCTAATATTTTCATCACTTCGGCATGTTTTATATTACGTTCTTTTTTCACGCTATTATAATTTTCTTTTACATAAAGCGCAAACGCTGAAGGCTCTCTCTTCGGGGTTTGCATTTGTACGATTCCAGTCTTTGTTGTCTTGTTTAATAATAATTCGAATTTTCCATAGCAAAGGCCACATCGTTTTTTTTCAATATCCAAAGATTTGGAATGTCTACCAATGCTATAATGAAGTTCAAAATAATTTAAACGTATATACATCTTTAGAACTTATAATCATGTATGCGTTATAAATTTTGTTTTACCTATATCCACAGTCTACGCATTTGTATGTAAATTTCGTTTTAATTTTGTAATCATGACATCTTCTTATTGGTGGTAATTCAGGAAATGTTTCCATAGCTTTATTGGCCCTAGATTTAATTAAATTGACGTTTAAGTAAACATGAAAATAATGATTGCTATAATATACCATTTAAGTAAACATGAAAACAAATGATTACTATAATATACCATTTTGTCCACAATGGACCATGTCCATCAGAAACCCCATTTATCAACCAGGCAGCTGCATGACACATTTCATGAATTAAAGTATCTCTAAGTCTGTCCGGAGTATCTAAAATCTACATAAGGAAATTTATTTAATTAGTATATATCTCAAAAATTTTTTAACAACTATATAAACGTACCTTTGTCGCCAGAACTATTCGCGAAGATCTTACAATACCACCAAGCGTTTTCACTGATTTTTTGTTGTAACAAAAACCAGCAGTTCCTCTCATACGGATATTCCATTCTATTAACATGTTTTCTGGTAATTTATTATCAAATACTTTTTCATTATATAGTTTATACAGATAATAGCACAGATTTTCTTTGTTATTTTTATAATATAATCTATATTTCTTAGCATCTGGATGTACATCAGTAAGAGGAACTTTTTGGGATAAAGATGCCAAAAAACTGATATATTTTTCATGTTTCAAATTGTTGGAAATTAATTTACTTTGAATGTTTAATTTGGGTATTTGCTTTGTAGTTTTAATAGAAGCTATAAAGATATTCTCATATTATATATATATATATATATATCATACATAATATATTATGTAAATAATGTAATATTGCAATACCTTTCTTAATTGTAGGTTTTGGTGGTATATCATCACCAGGATCAAACTCACTAGTATTTGAATCTTCATCATCACTAAATGACAACATTCTTCCTCTTATGTTGAATATTTGATTATTCTTATGTGTATCACTTTCATATTCACTATCTGTATCACATATTCTACGAATTCTAAAAAATAAAAAATAATAGTTATTGTTTATGTTTAAAGTATATTTACTTTAAACATATTTTTATTACCGCTGTACAATTCCTGGAACTGCTGGTTTTGATTGTGTACTATTTGTTGATACTCTTGGATTTGTCAATGCAGTATAGTACAAACTTTCATGTTCACTTTCTGATGATGTTTGATCTTTAATAAAACTATCTCTTTGTTTCATATTTTTTCGCATATTCCTCTTTATTGGCGGATTTTGAAATGTTAGACCTTTTAAAGTTATTAAATTAAAAATAATTAAACCCACCTCTTTAAAATAAATATAAAATGTAATTTAATAAAAATCTACTAAAAATCATTACTTACATGTATCCGAGTTATCATCTGAATCCGATATATATACTCTTCCTTTATTTATAATCTTTCTGTAACAATTAATATTTATAAGTTTTAATTATTAGATTATTACTAATTAGACGTAATATTAAATTTTGCATTGTTATATTTATAAGTTACCTATCAGTCTGGACTGCTCTATTTTTTGTTTTAGTAACTTGTTTACGAGGTTCAGATCTTGAAAACAATTCATCAGCTTTATCACGCCAGGATTTACCATATAATTTATCTAATATATTTACACATTCCATGACATCTACATTTTGTGGTTTATTCATTATAGAATTCATTGGAGTTGACACATTATTAGTATGACTCTTTTTTAATGTAGAGTGTTCAAAAACATTATTTTTTGTTTTTTCAACAAATTCATTTATTATAGTTTCATGCGGTACTGTAGAATGAGACGGATTATAATTTGGAGTTGTAGTTTTAGTTTCCTTTAACTGATGTATTCTTCCCCTATTATTTGGAGTTTCATAATTCATCTCTAATCTTTCTAGACTACTATTCCCAGAGCTCACATCACTTTTATTAGTAAGAGGCACAATACCAGATGAACTATCACTTTGAGAATCAGGCGAATTAGCCATAAGCCATTTTGAAATCTGCTGCTTCTTTCTCTCTGATAGTTCAACATATGCTGCTGCTCTATCTTTTTCTATAAGTGTTGTGCTCAAAAATTTACTAACATGGGTTTTATAAAGATTTGCCAGATTCATTTGAGAACCTCTAATAATATCGTTCTCAGAATCTATTGCACTTTCATTATTTGCTTTTAAATCATTTTTAGGTGAAATAGCTGGATGTATGATCATATTATCTATCTCTTCATCACATGCAGTATTTCTTTCTTTTGGTGATTCATATATTATTCGTGTAGCTCTTATATTTTTTATAATATTTTTAGTATCTTTTTGTGAAAGTTTTTTCTTAAAATCAATACCATTTTTATTCATAGGAGATGCAGTTTTAAGTGATTGAATATTACTATTGAAATTCTTAGAATTGTTAGTAGCAATAATATTACTATGAGACTGGATATTTGTGTCTGATATGCTTTTTACATTTTCTGTAGTAAAACTTACATAAGTACTACTAGTTTTACTAGAAGATATTATATCTTTGATATATTCAATACTACTGCATGAAGATTCATCAGATGTGTATAATATTTTATTTTTTTTTACAATATCTTTCTTTCCTTGATAGTTAGTATCAAATTGGGATTTTTCATTTGCACATGTTTGAAAGTACTTTTTCTCTGTAATCTCTGTAGAATCAGAGTCTGATGAATCTATAACATAAGTTATAAGATCTTTATTTGGTGTTGATTTTGGTTTAGCCTTTTTAGTAACAGAACAAGTTGATTTAGAACTAGAATCACTTATTATTACTATATCTTCATCATCATTTACTTCTTGAGATTTAGACATAATAGAATCTTGTGATAACTTTAAGCAAAAGTTTTGTGAATTACAAAGAGATTCTTCCATTTTTTCTTCAAATTGCAATTTTTTATTATTATATTCACCATGTGTTTCATTTTGTGCTCTATATTTTACTTCATAAGATACTCCATCCTCTGTTAAAATTAACAAGCTCATAAGAAATATATTATATTAAATAACTTTCAAATATTATAAAATATATTTACTTACTGTAATTAGACATGCTTTGTTAACAAATAATCTTTAAATAATACTCTTCAGCTCAATAGATATTCTACTATCGTTATATACTCTATTTAAAGTAAATCCAGACATAAATAAGGAATACATGTGTAAACAAAAACAAAACAACAAAATTATCACATATACTTGATAGAAGTGAGAAAATGTTATATCAAAACAGTTACTTTAAAACTTGTATTATCTGATAATACAAAAAATAATGTTACATTTTGTTATAAATTATATTATGATAACTTTGAAATTAAAAGTTAAAATTCACTGCCGTTCGAATAAAACAGTTAAAATTTGGAATCAGTATAGGCAGCTAGTAACATTAAGAAAAGAACTAGGATAAAATAAATTTCCGTTGATAATATTAAAAATGTCAATAGATTATCATGTTAAATAATTTGTATAATTGGTATAATTTTTTAATATTTATATTTTATTTATTTGCTTATTTCTCACAAGAAAATGTAGTGGTCAATTTCGAGACATTTTGAAATTCAAAAAACTAATGCTAATATTTGCTAATCTTGTACGTATATTGAATAAGTAATATTACTAGATATCATAATATTCATTTCATAAAATATATAAAAATGTATGAAATAGTACAAATTTTGATATTCTTGAAACTTGAAAAATGAAAGTTGAATCTTTCAATTTCGCAGAAAGATACTTTCGAATAACTTTCAAAACAGATGTGTTTGATGAAATTAGTTCTGTAAATAAATTGTCATTTATTGTCATATCTTGAAAGTGAACGGAATTAGTCAAAAAGCATTCATTCCTTCGCCGAGGAAAGTTTTGGCATCGATCCAAATGTTAACCTCAAAATGTTTCCGCGAGTTTTGAACGTTGATTTAACGATCTAGAGTCTTGCTATGACATATTCGGTACGATATGCAAAAGGTATGATCAAATAAAATAGAAATCTCATTGAAAATGGAATAATTGATAATTATAACTTATCAAATACATTTGAAATCTTCCTATGAGTTATTTGACGCTATTATATCGATTATTCTTTATAATCTTATATTCGATGTTACTATTACTTGTTCATTATACCAAAAATAAAATCCGAATAATATGGCTGAAATTAAATTCTAATCCTAGTAATAGAAAGTATCGCTTCTAACTTTCTAAATAGATATCACGAAAATCATTACAAGTTTTAAGTTTCAACAATTTCAGGAGAAATAATTAAGCTCTTAAGTGTTGAACAAAATTAATAATTATTAATAAGGAAAGTTCGTCGAATTTTATTCAAACGGCTTTTATTCAAACATAATAATAGTTTCGTTAATGAAAGATATATAGTGCAAGCCATCGTTTTCCAATATAGGAAGAAAGGAAAATTATATCAATAAGTATATATGTATTTCATACTCCGAAGAAAATTTATTTCTTTACTTTTGATATTCACAAAATTTCATTTCGAATATTTGATGAACTGTCAAATATTTTGCGAAGATTTTCATCAATTTCTCGATACAATTTCTGCCATAAAGTTCTCTGATTCTGAAAATATTAACAATGAAGTTGCGAAAACTTTTAAGCTCGATGATCCTGTCGATCGTAAATATTTCATCGATTCCCGTAACGAGAAGATATCGATGAGAATCTTCATCTTTTTCGTTAATTCACACGAAAAGGCTTTTCATGTTTTGCATGGTTAAAAAGCTCTTAAGATTTTTGAAGTAAGGAGCAAAGCAAGTTCCATTTTAGGTGATAGGTAAGTCATTGCAATGGATATTTTTTTTTTTTTTAATCTTAGAATTGTCGAACGTTCTTCGCAAATGTGTTTCAAATAAAAAAAGAATCGTATTTCTCACAAAATTGTATTTAGAAAAGCAAAATATTCTATGCTACATTGATACGTATAAACTGCTGACTTGAATCGAGAAGATCTCGAAATTACCAACAGTGATACAAAGTGACATTTAATATGGTAATATATGTATGCCGGTTATGATCTAATGGGGCGTGTTTACATGCATAGTAGATTCACAATCAATGCATAACATTGCGTTTCATGGTTCGGAAAAAAATTACTATCGACCCTGCATATTTGTTTGTACGAAGTCCAACAAAACCAAATCGATATCATGTCAGAAATTAAATTAAATACGATTCGTAGAATTTTTCGTCTTTGTAATTTTTTCATTTTACGTACATGCGTGCAATTTAATAATTGTTCATGTTTCTGTTTCCTTAAAATTTCTTTTTTGTTATTCTAAAATTATTTCCTATAAATTTTAGCTATTCGTGCCAACGATTCTTCTTTAAGCTGAAATATCAATATTAATAGCTTTCAGTCTCGCAATCGTAAATATTTTAAGGTTAAATCTCGAAAAGAACATGCACGCTCACCCATCTACAAACATTGCCACATGGAATTCAAACATTAAAGTACTTTTCAATCGAATCCAGCAAACACGTAAAATCCAATTTCCCATTACCTCTGGAGCGACACTAGCTTCCTTGACAAGATAAATCTGGGATCAATGCTTCGAAAAGATTTTCAACTTTGTTTGTTTTTCTTATTTGATTACTGACTTTTTTATTCGCTGTTCAATTAACGGATGTGTACCTTTCTTTCAGAGAACGACGATCAGATGTGTGTTTCACTCGAGGGGATATCGTCTTTGTCAGACATTCGATATCTAAGACGTCCATTTTTCATGTGTACGAGGACCGATGACTTTTTTGTTTGTTGCAAAAATTGCGAGGCAATGATTTCTTCAGCGTTTTTATCTGCTGTCAGCGAATCGTTATTTATTCGTTTCTTTGTCTCTCCATCCTCTGACTCTGACTGTAATTGGGCCGCATCGTGTAAGTTGATTTCCATGGCTCCAGTTGCACTGTACCTATGTACACGTATGCCGAGAGCGACAATTCCCGGAAACATGAATTCATTTACAAAGTTTTACACTTGCACGGTGTAAAGTGTTGCCACGTATACGTGAGATCAAACAATTTATCAAACACGAAAATAGGTGCAAAATTAACGAGGAACAAGATCCTTTTAACAAGCATAACTCAAATGTAACTTACGTCGCATGTTGTTGGCTATTTATGCTTCCTCCTCGAAACACCTGAGATCCTCTGCCAGGCTTGACACCGTAAATTGTACTAGAATGTCTTACGCTGCTCAGGTCAACTCTACTAATGGATGGATTGCTGAGAGAACATCGATATGTTTCCTTAAATGCGTTCCGATATTTCACGCTCATCACATTATAGAGGATAGGATTAATGGTAGTGCTGAAGTAGTAAAGGCAACCGGTAACCGGATATACCCACTGATCATCATACGTCGAGTCCGCGTACACGTATAATAATCGTTGAATGTGAAATGGCGCCCAACAGATGAAAAACGTGATCACCACGGCACCTGTAAAACCAAGTTGGAGCACGATTTCTATTCATCTCATTTGCTTAATTCATTCATTTA